TGAAGTCGCCAACTTTGCTGTCGTCTACAGAATATGTTATATAAATGGTATTCTCTGCGATTTTCATCTTTGCAGGCATCAAAATGGAGCTATTCATTTACATTGAGTCTGCAGGATGCACATTGTGGCGATCTCGATAGGTAAACTCTTCTTGTACACGAACTTCCGCGACGAACTTCACTGTTCGGATGAAAACTTGGCATCCCACCGTATCTCAGCATAGCCGACCACGAACGACACGTATGTATTAGCATCTTGCTTCTGCTTGACCGAAGATACAGGGATGTGTACATAAGCAAGAAATCCGAACTTGCGGATGATGGATGTCCGGTTTGACACCAATCATTCGCTCATAAGGTACATCTTCTACTGGTTTCGTGTAGACCCTTTTATAATATAAGCTGCATTCTAGAGGGCATACGGCCAAAACGAACACGGGAATCCAGATTTATTATTCTGGGTCTTGACCATCTCCGTCAGTGATTGGTGCACACGCTAGCAGGAGTTCAGGTATGAGCTCTTCGATCCAACCTTAATGTATTCGATTCCTACGCATCCTCCGCGGAAAGATTCGGCGCGACGAACACCTTCTCGAGTGTGTCAATCTCTGTTGCAGCCCGCTTTTAAATAGCCTCCGTGTACCTGGAACCTAATCATGTTCTGAGGCTGTAAGTGTGTTTAATTCAGTTCCAGGGGGCCAGAAAAGGAACCAACGGAAGTGTTACTAAAATAGCACTAATATTTTTAATTGTACCTATCATAGAGACTATAAATATAAAACACACATTTGTGGCTGATGCATATTATTTGAAAGTGTTTGGAATTCATTTTAAAAAACTTAAAACGATTCCAAAAAAATTTGATCAATTCGCATTTGGCAATGCAAATGTTTTGGCATGTATCGATAGTTTAAAGTGTCTCATAAAAACTAGTACGCAATATATACTGTATAAGACTTGGATGGAGTTATGTTCAACGCGTTGCACCAGTTATATCTAAAGACAGGTCATTTGGGTCAACGAATACTGAAGTTTTTAAACAGACTCTTGCAATTGCGTTGGGCGCAAATATTACGTAATACTGACTGATACGATAACGTACTTCATGTACAGTTTATACGTCTCTTGAGTGACAATGAGTACCAATCGGTAACGGCCCGGTATTGAACGGCCCTGTATCGAACCATTACACTTTTTTTTAGGCGAGACCAACATCACACGCGGAAAAATACACACGCAAAAACTCGCGTAGAAACCCACGTGACCGTACGTGGAAACCACACCACACACGCAAAACCATGACCAACACAACCACACGCGGAAAATCACGAAAACATACGCGGAAAAAGTCCCGCTAGTTTATATGCACCATAAAACGGGGTGGAAGAGATCGGAAGCAGCGTTCTTTGATCGCAATTCAAGTTTGATTGCTATATCAATTAACGACAGCTCCCGTAAAGTGGATACAAAGGTTGATATGATGCCGTTCGTGTGGATAAAGGAAGGGAATCGTTCGGTTTGTTCAAGTAACGCGTACTGAGATTAATAAATACGAAGTGAACTTTTTCCTTGAATTTCTAAGCAAACTAGCGTTACATGTTGATCTGGATGGCGCTCGTTTTAAACAGGCTGAGCTTTAATTTGTTGTCCCCATTGCAAACTTGTAAACCTTCGAATGCCCCGTGACATCTGAAGAGTTTGGACGTGGAGTAGCGCAGAATATATGAGTCTCCACCAGCAGTAGGCATGGGAAGCCATTGCTATAGGATGTTCACAACTGCAAATCGTTGGTGAGCGTTGCTGGAGTGAACTTCTATGTAAAATACGCATGATCTGAAGACGGTTTGAGTAATTGTTTTCTTCTCATTGACTCAAAACTA